AAAAAAAATAAAACATACATTTTAATATTTTATACAATAAAGATCGAAACTATAAAAAAAATTTAAAATAAAAAAAACAAAAACAATAATTAATATATTATTAAATAAAATTAAGTAAATTTTGTTAGGGGTGGTTTGTCTGTTAACAACGATTTCACATCCAAAACAATGCTTGGTAAAAAAATCCTGAACCTTGGCTAATACTTCTGTATATACTTCTTTTGTCTTTTTTTTAATTTCTTCATAATCAACTCTCTTCCTTCAATATTAATATCATCAAGTTTATTATTTATTTTTAAAACTGTATCATCAAAAATTTTTTTAACAGAATCATTGAACCCTTTAACTGCATTTTTCCAACATTCATTTTCTTAAATTAAACTTTGATTTTGTTTATAAAAAGCTTCTTTTAAATAATTAAATTTAGCAACTGCTTTATCATGTATTTGATTATTATTATTTGTTGGTGGATCAGAAATAGGTTGTTTAGGTTATTCAGTTTGTTCACTTATTTTTTTTAAAAAAAAATTACCTTTATTTTTTTTAAAAAAAAATATCTTTATTTTTTTTATAAAAAATATTTATTTTTTTTAAATTCGTTAAAAAATGATTTTTTTTAAAAAAAAAATAAACTTATTTTAAATATATTTTTTAAATTCATTTTCTCTTTTTTTTTTATTACAATAAATATTTTACGAACAGTTAAAATATATAATACTGTATAAATTGACCCAACATTTGTATAAACCCAAAATATTAAAGTTCCAAAAACAATAGCATGAAGCTATCGATTATAATCATACAAATCTTGTATAATTTTAACTAAAATAATACTGCAACAAAAATATGCAATAATTATACAGATAATACTATTATAGCATTTTTCATAAAGATATAATGCAAGCCTTATTTGAGCCTTTATAGAAACAAAAAAAGTTATCAAATGATACTACAATAAAAAAAAAATTTAGCGAACAAAAAAATCAAAAAAAATATTCTAAAAACAAAAAAAAATACTTACAAGCATATACATTTAAAAAAGATTACTTTGAGAAATTTTGCTTTTATGTTATTTATATATGAATAAATTAAGTTACACAATTATTTAAAAGTTATACCAAATTCTTTATTATTATTTTTAATATAAAAAGAACAATAATTTAACAATTTTTAAAATTGTAAAACAAATTAAATTTTTCTTTATAAATAAAAATTTTTAAACACTCATTAGTGGTATTAAGATTGGTGATTGTTAAAAATGAAATATACTTTTATTTTAATTTTATTTTTACTGCCACTTCAAATATTTGCTGCAAATGGTGTTCCTATTGTCATAGTCAAACTTCCAAAATTATATATCTGAGATTTTAAAACCAGAGAATACAGATTAATTCTTAATAAAAATGGTCAAACTACAAATAATTATAAGGGTAGTATTTTTGTACATTATAGAAATATATACGAAGCAGTGCATAAAGCTAAAAGTGTAAAGGTTCAGGATTTTTTTACCAAGCATTCTTTTGGATGTGAT